ATCTGTCTTCAGTTTGAGATACCTAGCCCGGAAGTCCCTTACAGGGGTGACTTTCAAATAACATTTCACTCAAAAGAAGGTGAGGGTGTCCATGTATTTTGATTGGTTTCTTTGTATTTTGACTGTGAGTTCAAAGGAGAAAGAACAGGTTTACTTTAGAGCAAGTAAAACCAAGATATGCTAAATTTCACCACTTCTGAAAAGATTCCAGGTAACAGAGAATAAACATACAGGAAGCCTTGTTTAAAGAAACCCATTAGAGACAGGATATAAAATAGCAAGCAGATCTGAGTCAGGCAGTTTAGCACACAATTTCTAACTCTAACATTTTTGTTTGCTTGCTTACTGGAAAACCCCAAGTATATTCAACGATGACTAATCCTTGAGGACTGTTTTGTAGTTTTCTTGGAACAATTTTGATACTATGGGCAAATCCTTGAAATAGTCAGGACAGGAATTTCTTAAATTCTTACTACACTGGACAAAGGGTAGGGTTACATTTGAATAAATAAAAAATTTGCTGAAACATCTGGCATTTTTCAGCCTGATTTTCCTTACTCTCATACCGAAAACAACAGGTCTAGAAGATTAGACCATAGGATTCATTTCATCCTTTATTTTCCTTTGAATGTGACTATTTAGCAAAGAGGATGTGGGATTCCAGCCTTTCCCACACTCTGACGTCAGTGGGGAGGACGCCAGGTCAAGGCATCCCCTGGTAGGTAGGTGGTGGTCACAGGAAGTACACATCAAGGAAGACAGTCCAAAATATTCAGACTCAGAGGGCTTCTGGGAGAAGATCTTTGCAATTGCCAATATTAGTTCCCCTTGGCTATGCCCAGCTAAGGGGAGAGAGCTTCAGGAATCAGTCGATTGAGTGTAAATTAATGTAGAAGGAAGCAAAAAGGAGCAATTTGTAGAAAAGAATTAAACTAAGGAGAGTAGGGAATACTGAGAATCAAAGTGGACTGAACTGCAAAATATATCAGGGTACGTAATCAATCCATATTTCTACCTCTAATTAAACTGTAACTTTTAAAAACTACCAGTTTATTCTACTGCCCTGAGATCTCCTTTGTCTCCCTTACAGAGTGCTAACCAGGTTGCCCATGGCTTATTCCAAGATCAGCTTTGGAGTCGCACTAGGTAACATGGAGATTTATCTGTTGCTTCTCATTCCGATTATACACATTCAACTTTCTGTGACTGAATCAATTTGGAGAGCTGCTCAGAGGAAGAGAAGGTTTTTGCTTGGCTTCAGATTCACTTCCTCTCACTGTGTCTCCCGCACAGTAATAGACTCCCGGGTCTTCTTCTTTCAGGTTGTCCATTTTTAGAAACCGCCTGCTGCGGGGAT